AAGCTCCAGGAGGCTGGTGTGGATGGGCAGGGAGCTCCTAGAAAAGCTCAAACTGAAGAAGGCAGCTTACAGAGGGTGGAAGCTAGGGCAGGTATCCCGGAAGGATTACAGAGAGGTTGTCCAAGCAGCCAGGGATCAGGTAAGGAGAGCCATCCAAGATGGAATTAAACCTAGCCAGGGATGTAAAGAGCAGTAAGAAAAGCTTCTATAGGTATGTTGGGAATAAAAGAACAACCATCTCCTGAAGGAAGGGAAAAAGGAAGACCCTGGGAACTACAGGCCAGGCACTCTCACCTCTGTGCCTGGCAACGTCATGGAGCACATCCTCCTGGAAAGTCTGCTAAGGCACATGGAAAATAAAGAGGTGACTGCTGACAGCCAACATGGCTTCACTAAGGGCAAGTCATGCCTGACCAATCTGGTGACCTTCTACAACAAGGCTACAGAGATGGTGGATGGTGGCAGAGCAACTGACCTCATCTACCTGGAATTGTGCAAGGCCTTTGGCTGTCCCACATGACATCCTGCTCTCCAAACTGACAGGGCATGGATCCGACAGGTGGGCCACTTGGTGGATTAGAAATTGGCTGGATGGCCACACCCAGAGAGTTCTGCTCAATGGCTCAATGTCCAAACGGAGGCAGGTGATGAGTGGTGTCCCTCAGGGGTCAGTATTGGTACCAGTGCTGTTTAACATCCTTGTTGGAGACATGGACAGTGGGATTGAGTGTATCCTCAGCGAGTTTGCTGATGATACCAAGCTGTGTGGTGTGGTTGACACCCTAGAGGGAAGGGAGGCCATCCAGAGGGACCTAGACAGGCTGGAGAGGTGGGCCAGTGCCAGCCTCATGAAGTTCAACAAGGCCAAGTGCAGGGTCCCCGAGGCACAAATACAAGCTGGGGGAGAATGTCTAGAGAGCAGCCCTGAGGAGAAGGACGTGGGGGTGGTAGGAGATGAGAAGTTGACATGAGCCATCAGTGTGTGCTGGAGCCCAGAGAGCCTTTTGTGTCCTGGGCTGCATGAAAAGAAGTGTGGCCAGCAGGGCCAGGGAGGTGATGTCAGGAAGAAATTATTCACTGTGAGGGTAGTAAGGTGCAGGAACAAGGTTGCCCAGGGAGGTTGTGGAAACCCCATCCCTGGAGGTGTTCAAGGTCAAGTTGGATGAGGCTTGTGCAGCCTGATCTAGTGTGAGGTGTCCCTGCTCATAGCAGGGAGGTTGGAACCTAATGATCTGTAAGGTCCTTTCCAAATTCTCTGATTCTGTGCTACCAAATTTAGTGTAAATGCCTGTATAAACTGATGTGCTTCTTGCTTTCTATGTTTCTACATCTTGGCCTTTGTTCCAGTTGTATAATGTGTCTGCCCTTTGTCTTGATGAACTGTGTGAAAAGCTGTTTTTTTAAAAAAAAAGTTTATCCAGTAAGACCTTATGCAAACATTTCTTGTTTGTTGCTTGGTTTTTTTTCCCACTGAAATTCAGAGGACAGTGGGAGATTAGAGAGGGATCTTCAATCTTGTAGAGTCAATCCTATCGGGCTAATAAGATTTTCCTGTGCTTAATCCATGTTTAATTAACTATCCTAAGTTGATAACAATTCTATAATGAAATATTAATGTGTCAGCTACTTTACTGATACACCTGAGGGGGCTTCTGAGAGTGACCTGCACAGCCTAGCATTAAGCTTCAGGAGATGACCACCTTCTTGTGAACAGAAACAATCTGAATAGTATATGCTTGTCCTTCCTCACCACTCTATATTGCTGTGAGATACACATCTACATATCTACATCTATTTTCCAGGTGCCTTACTACGTTTGGAGAAATTGTTATAGCTCCTGTAATCCTGCAGAAGTATTGTTATCTGCAGTTACTACCCTTGCTGTAATGTAATTGTGGTTAAAGTCGTATGATGGCATTATTGTTTTTCCTGGCAAACCTCCAAATAGGAAGGTGTCTGTATAAACACAAGTTCTTCACTTTTGCTCTTTTGTTTTGCAGTTCTTCAGCTGGTGGAGTAGTTACAATGAAGCTATCAACTACCTAGCTACAGTGCCAAAATACCGTATACAAGCTACTGAGATTGCCAAGCAACAAGGTTTACTCAATAAGACTAAAGAAAAAGGCAAGAACAGGCGCTCTAAAGAGGAAATTCGGGAAGAAGAGGAAGAAATCATCAAAGACATTATTAAAAATAAAATAGATATAAAAGGCGGTTATCAGAAGCCCAAGATATACGATATCCTTCTATTTCAGCTCCTTCTTGCCCCTTTTTACTTGTGCAAATACATAGTTTGGCGCTGTTGGTGGATTTATTGTTTCACTATTAAAGGGCAAGAGTACGGTGTGGAAGAGAAGCTGTATATCATACGAAGGAACATGAAAATGTCTCAGTCTCAGTTTGACAGCCTAGAAGACCATCAAAAAGAGACCTTTCTTGAACGGCAACTGTGGATACGAGAAAACTATGAGGTGGGTAGCTTCTGGTGTGGGAGCAGGTGTTGATTCTCCAGTGCTCCCAGAGTAAGAACAGCTGTTTTGTGAAGGTGCTTAGGAGGGCACTGTCTGAGGCATTGCTTCAATTTTAGCTATTGCTTTCTAAACTGAAAACTGCCAGACAATCATTCAGTGTGTTTTTTTTTACTTCTGTTGCCCACGGACTGGTGAGCAGCAGCTGCTGACTGTGCCTGTGGACGTAGGGAGGGATTTGCTCAGTCAGGGGACACCCACCTGTGATTGTTAGGGAATCTGCGCACACAAGATTTAGTTGAATCTGATGAAAGGCCTTCTTATAACAGTGTAGTTTGACAGTTTTACTACAGTAGGCTACTACTATTGTCTGAACAGTAGTAATTTGTAGTAAGGATTACCTGGATCATCTGGAAATCCTGTTTCATCAAGTCTTCTAAGCCATTCATTCCTGATGCGTTGTTTGGCTTTTTTTTTTACTGTCCCTTGATAGTTCTGTGGTTTTTGGTGAGTCAGAGCTGTTCTAGCTATGCTATGTACCTGCTCAAGTAGAAATACTGTTGTGTGCAACTGCTACATTTGTCATGGAAAGCCAGTTACTAAAATGGCTTATTAGTTTTTTTCTAGCTTTCTTTGACAGCAGTAAATGAGCATTAGCCACAGCATGGAATTGCAGTCTGGAATTACTTGGGATGCCTGGCAGATTGACATAATTTTTCCACAGAAGCTCATCTGTGGGCCACCTGGGTGGGAGGTTTTTAGAAGAGAAACTGAATACAAAGTTGTCCTGCTTAAGGGGAAGAGGAAATGTTGCTGCTGCTCTGCATACACCCGGAAAAGAAATAGGATGGTAGCAGGATTGTCTTTGCTGCTGGGAGGGCACCAAAGACAAGAGAATGCTGTGTCTGAAGTAGGCGGGGGGGGAGATTAATGTAGAAACTTAGAGGGGAAACTAGTAAAATTGATGCTACTGTAGAATTGAGTAATGTTACTTCTCCAAGCAGATGTTACATAGAAAAAGTAAGACAGGATGGATATCCTGCAGAGGAGAAAGGGCATGGTTTGGGATCCATTGCTGTTTTCTAACCGGTGGTGGTTCAGTCACTGAATATGGAAGACCTATATTTGCCTGAAGTCTCTTTAGCACAAGCTCCTCTTCTGTAGTGGCCAGCGGCAGTTTTTAGTGAAGAATACATGAAAGTCCCACGTGTATAGCAATATTTGTCCACTATGATTTGCAGCTTTGGGACTTGATGAAAAAGAAATTGTCTTATTGCTTTAATGAATTTTCTTCTAATAAACTTAACCTATCACTTCTCAAATGCATTAAATTAACTTCCAGTGTCTGCTGTGCCATCTGGTCAGGAGTTCAGCAAAGGCACAGAAGCCACCTGTACAACCTGCTGGTTCTTGTGTTATTGGAGATGGAGAATAATAATGCTTTATTCTCTTTCCTGGTGCTGTCTATGCTCCTGTGTACTATTACTGTATCCTTACTTGAAATTTAATAATGTCTTTTCCAGGCTGGAAAATATGCTTAGGTGTTTCTCCTCAGAAGTTTATTTGTACTTTGATCAGTGGAGGTTATATTGTTCAGTTTTCCAGCATTGTTTTAGGATCAGAAAGACCAAGAATTCAATACATGGGTACATTGTGAAGCTCCACAGTATTTTTTTTTCCCCTTTGTTACTCTCCTAATAATTCATAAAATCCATATGATCACTGAACATTGAGCTAGTGTATTTATAAAGCCAACTATAATGTTTTAAAAGTCTTGTTCCTGCACAGCAGAACCTGAAATTTAATTCTTTTCTGGGAATAAGTCAGATGACACTGACAGAACATAAAGCTATACAGTCTTGATATCTGCACTGGCTGTATCTACGTAAACTGCCTTCCAGAATAAAAATGCAGAGGCTGTTGCATTTTTAGATATTTGTCTTTGCTGATAATTGTAGATTTCATGACAATAACATAATTTAATGACAGAATCTAATTGTTTATCATCTGGTACTGCCAATTCCAGCAGTACTAACTTATTTGAGAAACTCAATTAGGAGTAAACCACTCCGTAGCAGTATTCTATCTAGACAATGACTTTGCAGTGGGAAAACAACTAAAGTGAGGTGCTGAAAATCTGCATTGAACAGTATGGGTGCTAAGAAGGGACTCAAAATTTAGCTTTCTGAGCATTAGCAGCTCTTAACTGTAAATTTTTATTTTGTGGAATGCATAAGTGTCTAGTTCTTTTGCAAAAACTTGCAGCAGTGTCTTACAAAGAGGTAGTTGTGCTCTCAGAATGCAAAGCATCTCAGCTAGTGCCAGGTAGGCTCCTCAGCTGAAGGTGCTCCTGCCCTTTGGTCAAAGTCTGCTGTGCTGCTGCTCAGTCTTCTCTAAAAACAATAAGCTGGTGAATGGTGAATGCTTATACCCACCTTGAGGTTCAGTTAAGCTGTTTCATTAGCCCTGTTAAAGACTTCTGTCTGTCTCTCAGGCCTATAAACGAGAACAAGAGGAGGAGTTAAAGAAGAAGATGGCCATGGATCCCCGATGGAAGAGGTATCGGCGGTGGATGAAGAATGAAGGACCTGGAAGACTGACATTTATTGATGACTGAGAGCTGCCAAACAATACGTGTGCCAATGTTGGAAGTGATTTGCAGAACTCCACTACATCATTCAGAGTTTTGTCTGCTGTGCCTCAGCAGTGATCTAAAACTCAGGAATTATGAAACCAGGCCAACAAATAATACAGGTTTACCATTTTTATAAATCAGATGTATTAAACAGGCTCAGCTCAATGTATATATACCATTTACTTGGGGATCTCAGTGTGGAATTCATTATTCCAAACAATGTATTTTCTCTCCATATTTCATATTCACAATCTCTGGAACTGTAACTTTCTGAAAATGTTTCTAGATCAGTCCTTGAAAGTCCTGTTTTGCCTTTTTAAACCGAAGGGTTCCTGCAAATGAACACTGGAAATGTACAAAAGGGTTATGAAGCGAGGCCATTTTCTGTTTTCCTCTCTCTTTCCTCCTATTTTTCAATCTAAATTCCAAGATGCCAAATTGTTTTTTGGTGTTAAACAACATGGGGATTATACCAGACTTCTTTCGCTATTCCTGTTCCGGTTGGAAATGGATTTTATTTTTTGTGAGAATAAATGATGCATGATTGATCATTATCGTGATTCAAATAAGCCTTAATTCTTTGTTCTACAGAGTGATTCATGCAGTAGCATGCTTAGATCTTTTGAGTTTGGTTTTTCATCATGTATGTTGGATTGTACCTGCTTGTCCAGAACAAGTATACCAGTGAATATTAGTGTACTAAATGTGACATTTCTTTCACCAAAGTATTGGTAAAAGGGAAGACGACCCTTTTGTTAAAAAAGGGCAATTTTGATGCCTTATGTAAATAAATTTTATATAATATGCATATTGAACTTGTTTCAGATTCTAAATCTGAAGTATTCTTTATATCTTCTGATCAGAACTTAAAGTACTTAGAATAAATAATGCAGAACAGTATGCTGTGTTTTCCTCTGTAACTCAGCCCAGGTTGGAGTTTCCATGATTTGCTGGTAGAAGGGATTCTGTTACCACACTTCTGTTCAGAAATTTTATTGCCGGGGGGGAAGGGGCAGGTGGAGATAAGTGCCAGATCAGGCTGCTCCCATCATTTATCACATCTGTAAAAGCAAGTTCCTCAGAAGTCTTTCTGCTGAAAACACTTAAAGGTTATCTGGCTTCTGTGGAGCTTGGTTATGGGAGAGGGCTCTTCACCCTGCTACTGCTGCCAAAGCCCATAATAGCTAAAATGCTTTTTTTTAAAAAAAAATGCTTTTTGATTACTTTTTGAAGCAAGACATTTCTGATGCTGCAAAGGTCAAAGGTCTGTCCTCTCTTTGAGGAAAAGTTTCTGTTCTCTGTCTCTTTCGTAGGAGCTTTCACTAGTTCTTGGAATGTCATCTCAGTTTTCTGTCTAAAATCATACATACTCAAAAGTGTGTTAGAAGTATGCTGAACAGGTAACTTCTGTATGCATTAGTGAAATTGAAGAGAAACTGCTGGATTTGTCCTTCATTTCTGCTGCTAATTCACTTTGTATTTAATGATCAGTTCAAATCTGAAATATGTTAAAGAAGGTAATCCAGAATAAGCTGTGCTTGCTTTCATGAAGTACTCTGAGGTGCTGTAGTGGTGTGGTGGGGACACTGCAAGGATGTTAATGGAGTGGGAGACCTCTGAGCTGCAAGAGTGGAAGGAGGGAGATTAAGTTGCAGTGATAGAAACAAAGGGAATGAAGGTAAGCACAAATAAAGTTGTGTTGATTGTCAGTTAAGACTGTTATATCTGGAAAAGCACCAGACAAGTGCATGCAAGAGGATCTAAATTTGTGGCCACAGTTTCACAGGGTAACAGCTTTGCTGCTCTTCCTCTTGTGCCTCATTTTGCTTCTACTTTTCCCTTCCAAGCCAAGTGTTTGGGTTATACAAGTAAGTAGTCAAACCAGATCTGTTTTCCCTTTTTGCCTGGGTTAACTCTTACCAAGATTAATATCCTGACCTGATGCTACAGCAGGAAATCAGTGCAATGGTGGGGCAGTCCCTGGGGAGGACAGGACTGTGTCTGTGGCAACGGTGTCTTGTCTCTTTGACCTGAAACCAAGTGAGTGGAGGAGGGAAACTCGGCCAGTGTGTGACCTGCTGGAAAGGTTCTGCAAGCTTGACTGGGAGTTTCCTCTTTTCTCGGATGCATGAGCCATTTGAAAATAAACACACACAAGCATGAATTCATGGGCTACAGCAAAAACTTGCCTGGCGGTGGCACTGCAGTCACGTCTCCACCACAAAGGACAGAAAAAACGGGTCTGTAGAAAGCTGTCAGCACTGGAGTGACACTCAGAGGCTGAGGCAGTAGCCAGCAGCATGCCTGACATCTCATTGTGGTTCTAAATGATGTCTGTCTTCTGGACATAACTCCTCAGGCCGTATTTTATCTTGAAATTAAATCGACAAAGCAATTTTCTACGTAGGAGATGAAAAACAAACAAACAAAAAGAAGTTACAGCACTATACCTGGAAAAGCCAGTATAAATTGTGGTGACTTCAGAGAGAAACGTTTGCACGAGCAAGTATTGCTGGTACTGGGTGGCAGTGAAACCTTGGTGCGGAAAAGTGTGGCAAGGTTCAGGATCTTGGAGAAGAACCACCTTGACTCATCAAGGTTTTTTTCAAATAACTGAATCTGTCTTGTAGCATGCATGTATTTTCAAATACGTAGTGAATATAGGGTGGAACATACTTTACACTCAATACTCAAAAGGTATTACAGACCTTTCACATTCCGTGTTTTCCCCATGACCATGCCGAGGCTTTGCTTGAGGCTCAAGCACATCCACGGCTACTTCTCCACTACTTCAGAGCTACATGGTTCATCCCACTATTTTTAACAGGCCAGCAAACTCTGATGGCTGGCAACCTCCTGCCAAAAAGTGAATGTTTTGTGGTCATAAGTGAAAGGGTGATGAACGGCAGGGTCGGAATGCCGCAACGCGGGCAGCAGCTGCCGAGCAGTGCCAGCCCAGCAGCCGGGCTGGGCAGAGCCGCTTCTCCTTAACTCTTTGCAGGCTGCGGAGCACTCCCTTTCCTCTCTTTAAATTTTCCCCATTTAAAAAAAACATGCCTTCTCTTTCTCCCCCACTTCTTTTTTTTCCTCTTCCTCCTTTTCACTCCTCTTTCCCCTTTTTTCTCCTTTCCTCTCTTTTTTCTCCTTGCTCTTCTTTTTATTCCTTCTCACTCTTTTTTTTGCCCTTGCTTCCCATTTTTCACCTTTTTTTTTCTTATTCCCCCCCCTTTTTTTTTCCTCCTTCCTCCCTTTTTTAGCCTTTCCCCCCCCCTTTATTTCCCCCTCCCTTCTTTCCTTCCCC